TTATTACTATTATTATTATTATTATTATACTATTAATATAATATTCATAATACTAATATTATAATATTACGAACATTATAAATTAATGATTAATATTATAATATTCATTATAATATGTTATAGTAATATTCTAATAGAAAATAATTAATTACAATATTAATTATCATCATACAGTTTCATTAATTATTAATTACTAATTAATTATTAATAATATTTCATTAATTAATAATAATAATAATAATAATTCATAATTAAGTAATAATTATTCAATCAATCAATCATTATTAATAGTAGTTAATTAATTATTAATAATAGTTATTCATTAATCATAATAATAATAATAATAAATAATAATAATAATATATTATTATTATTGTTATTATTAATTAATCAATCAATTATTATTATTAATAGTTAATGAATTATTAATAATATATATTATTTAATCATAAAAATTATTAATTATTAATTGATTATGAACTATTATTAATTATTAATATTAAGTATTAATTACTAATTAATTGTTAAATTTTAATAATATTTCATTAATTAATTAATAATAATAATTCATAATTAAGTAATAATTAATTATTATTACTTATTATTAATTAATTAATCAATTATTATTAATAATAGTTAATTAGTTGTTAATAATAAATATTAATTATTAATAAAAATAATTAATGAATAATCATTAATTTATTATTGATTATTATTAATTATTAATTATTAATAGTTAATATTAGGTAATATTTATTATAATATTTTTTAATATTATTTATTTATTGAATTATATAGATAAATAAAAATTCTCTTATATAGTGTTAAATTGAATATCTGATATTTTTCAAAATTCAGAATTCAGAACAATATTAATATTATCTACATTTAGAGTTAAGAGGAAAGAAAAGTTCATTAATATCAATATTAAGTATATTTTTTTAAATCCAATTTTATTTTTGCTCCCTCCTCCTCGTTCTTCATGGTGCTTCTAGAACACGAGTAGATCCAATAAACCTTTGCAGCTTCAGAGATATTTACACAAAATTTCCAATATCTTTCCATTGACCGACAGATAGAGAATACCAAGCGCGATGACAAATGGGAGAAGAACGAAAGCCTGTAATAGTAAATTCCCGAAGCTAGCCGGTTGTTTAGCTATGAAAAAGCCATAGGCTAGTATTTTTCTGAAAATCATATCCCATATGTGTTTCTCACACTTTCTCTATGAAAAAGGGAAATAGACAGAGAAAAGGGAAAGGGTCCTCAATCAACTGGAGGATCTCTGCCACTGTCGATCTCTCCGGTGGGTTGAAGATGATTGTTGGGGCAGAAATCACGATATCGGGAACACTAGCCAGTGAAGAAACCCTCCTTTTTTTTTCTCCACTCAGTTTTCTGGCTTCGATTCCACTTAACACAATCGCCCAAATTTAGGCCGGATTCGGGCTTGCCATCTCCAACTCAGTCAGTCAGGATCCCCTTCGTCCCAATGGCCAAACCTTCTGTGGCGATGGTAGGGAAGGAAAAACAGGGGAGTTGAGCTGCATGTTGAAGAAAAAGATAAAGAAAAAGGGGGGAGAGAGAGGTTCGTTGCCGACCATAACCTCTCGGGAAATTTAGATCGTCGTTCGCTTGGTGTTGCCGGAACTGGGCACCTGTTGAAAAGTTCTGGAGCTGTTCAGAGATCTCCAACCTCTCTCAGCCGATCTTCTGCCTTGGGCTTCTTCTTTGCAACAGGGGCTTCCCGGCCTTCTTCTCCTCTACTGGCTTATTCTTTGCCTTGAACGCCATTGAAATGTCTGAAAAAAAGGCTTAGAGGAGGATGGAGTTTACTATAAGGTAGGCAAGAAACTACGTCGATTTCGTTGAAGCCAGGCTATTGAAGGTCCGGGATGATGCTTGTGAGCCGGTGAATATGTTCTTCTGTGACATGCTCTACAGGAAGCTCAACTTTTACTTTCTTATCGGCGCCCACGAATCCACGATGTGCAGCGCTCGGCCTATAGGAACGGTCTCGTGGCTTTGAGTTCAAGAGGCTGATCTGGTTAATTTTGGGATACAATGAGAATATGAGATGACGGGCATGGAACCGGGAAGGATGTGTCGATTTTTGAGAAAAGATAAATTGAATTTAAGGGAAGGGTAAAATTAACTTTTCATAATTAAACAGTAAGGATACTGTCAATTAAGGTAATTTAAGAAATCTGTTCATAATAATAAATAAGATAAATTATAAAGATCCTCCTGTACATGGGGTCTGTGATAAAGAGCCTCTGTACTTTGTTTTGCGATAAAGACCCTGTACTTTGTTTTGCCATATACCGTGAGACAAAGACCCCCTTCTCCGACCTCACGATACACGAACAGCAGCGACGGTTGACTCCGAGTTAAAAGTGTTGATAAAAACTATAAAGAACTCAGAGAATAAAACAAAGAGAGGGGTTTACACAATTACACTTGCATGTTTTTGTATTTCTTTTCTATATATAAAATCCTGCAACCAAACTTACTAGTTACAGTCACTTTTTCAGTCTCGGAAGATGACATCACCGGCTATGCCCATCAACGGTTGTAAAGAATACGGCGAGAATTTCCGGGCAAAAAGAAAAGGGTCGTGCCCTTTCGACATGGATGAGGCGGAGCCATTGGCAGTCGAGTTGCCATCGTCACCGTATCTGGGCCTAGCTTGTCTGAACGAGAGGATCAGCTCCGGCGAAACCTCAGAAGCCTGGTTCGTCTTTGAGGATCTCGATGAAGCTCTTATCGGATCCAATGAGGGTTCGGTATGTGAAGCCAAAGGAACAAAGGGGGATGCAGGAGGGGGAGAGGAGAGAGAACATGGCGTTGGAGGGGGCGTCTAAAAGGGCGTGAGCGAGGAGGCGACGAGTCGCGGAGACAAGAGATGGGGTATAACGGTTGGGTGGGTTTGGAGGGGATGGCGCGCCCGGAGAAGACGCCGGAGAATGGTTGGTTGTAGTGAGAAGATGGGTTGAGGAAGGGAGAATGGTTCATCGAGATACTTTATCCCTGAGCCCATGTGGGTGGGTTTATGGCATAGCGATGAGCGTTAAGTGTTCGATCGACTCAACCTTCAATACCTTATCCCTAAGCCCATGTAGGTGGTTTCAAGTTGCTTCTTTTCATGGCGCTCAGCAACATCAACTTTCCCTTGAATGAAGGAAAAATGAAAAATCTGTGGGGTGCTGGGAAGGACACACTCAGGAAGCGAAACTTTTTTTTTTAGGTCTCTAATACTCTGACATTCATGTTCTGCCAGTGGCTGCCCCTTTCTCTCGCTTCAGTGACTAAAATGAGCATGATGCCATCTAGGGAGAACAGAAGGTGCAATAGTATGCTTGCAGTGATTTTCCTCCACTCAGCTAGCATTTGCAGATAGTTTCACTTTTCACCCCGAAGGAGTTACATCCCTTCCTCACCAGCTAGCATATCATGGAATTATCCCTTTTCTTGATATGGAGCCTCAAATAAATTCAATAATTTGTTGTTACATCCCTTTTCTTTGTTGCTCCAGTGGGTGGTGGGTTTCGGTTTACTCGGCTGGCGATGCGGAATAGAGATTCATCGTCTTCTAGAATAACTGCTGGCGGCGGCTACAGTCTGCTGACAATTTTGCTTTTGATTCCGCTATTCTTGCTTTGCTTAATGTTGTTTGTGGATGGAACGATATTCCTTACCTGGATTTTGCGAATATAATTGCCGTTGGTGGTGGCACCGGCGTCATCGGTGTTGTTGCTGCTGCTGGTGGGGCTGGTAACTGTGAAGATGAATGCAAGAGGTAGGCAGAGAATAATAGCGCAAAAAAAAAGAATAAGGGTCCGGAGACGGAGATAGCATCTTTTCTTATGCTTGGCTAGAACCCCTCACTGTTACTACCGTCTGCAAACCAGAGAGAGAGAGAAAGTGAGAGTGAGAGACAAGAGAGGGGGTGGGTATTGGGTTAAGTGGGGTTTGGTGAATAATGAATTGCTTTTCCAATTGCGCCTTTTGGTGGGGTCATTTACCGCCGCTACCGTTCGTGTATCGTGGGGTTGGGGAAGATGAACACTGTTTTTCTCTTAATTGTATAAATAATTATTATAAGGGTATTATGGGGATTAAACTAAGGTCCCGTTTGATTTAAAGGAATATTAGAATCAGAATGGAAATGGATTATTCCGATTCCAACTGTTTGGTTGGGTGGAATCGACATCCCATTCTCATTCTTACTGGAATGACATTCTCCCATTTGAGGGAATGACCATTCCCTGCCCCTCTATTGGGAATGAAATTTCGTTCATGCTAATTCTAATTCCTATTCTCATTCCTTCCTGAACCAAACAAACTACAAGAATAAACCATTCTGATTCCAATTCCAAAGGATTTCAATTTCCATTCCAATTCTAATTCCAACTACTAACCAAATAGACCTTAAGATGATTTGATCCACATAATGGTAGAAAGCCATCTACTACAAGTTAGAGGGGACATTAGAATTGTGGTGATCCGATCAGCAGGTGGTGTTCAAGCTACAGGAGATGATCCGAGGGGGCTCTCTGATTGTCTACGACAAGAACTAGATTTTCCAATTCGGAATCTTTGACAAGAATGCTGTTGACGCTTCAGGGGTTAGATGGCTCAAAGCGCCCGATTGCTTCTGCTTCCACCTCTGGAACGCTTGGGAGGAACCCGAGACTGACGAGGTCGTTGTCATCGGTTCCTGCATGACCTTGCCGGACTCCATATTCACCGAATGCGAAGAGGGTCTGAAGAGTGTTCTCTTAGAGATTTGTCTCAATCGAAGGACCGATAAGTCCACCCATCGATCTATCATCTCCGATTCCCAACAGTTGTATCAAGACTCAACTGTGACTTAGAGATAAACTGATGGACCTGTTTCCCCAATTCCAGAGCAGACAAACTATTGCAACATAAGAGAACACTACAGAAGCTCGAATGGTTGGGCCTGATTCCCGTTGCCACCATCCTTCTAAAAAGCTTTAATCCAGTCTCTGCTTCACCATTCTCGAATGGTTGGGCCTGATTCCCGTTGTCACCATCCTTCTAAAAAGCTTTAATCCAGTCTCTGCTTCACCATTCTCCACATAACCAGCAACCATGGCATTCCAAGTCACCAAATTCCCTTGCGGCATTTCTTTAAATAATTCTTCTGCCAACTCAATCTTCTCCGACTTCATAAACCCAATAATCATCGCTGTCCATGCAATCACACTCTTAACCGGAGCTTGCTGGAACAATTCCACTGCCAAGTCCAAACACCCAGCCTCCACATAACCCGAAATCATGGCACTCCACGATACACTATTCTTTTCTGGCATTACCTTAAAGAGCTCATGGGCTTCAGCCATCTTCCCATTCTGGGAGAGACCTAAAATCATGGTATTCCCAGATGCAGCATCTCTAACTGGCATTCTATCAAAAAAACATCGAGCGCTTTCGATATCCGAGTTATGAAAGTAGCAAGCTAACATGGTATTGAATGAGACCGTATCCGGTTCAGGAATTCGATCAAATAGTTGGCGCGCTTCTCTCAATTTCCCGGCCTGCCTCAAGTAGCCAGCCAAGATTGAATTCCAAGTAACTGTGGTTTTAACAGTCATGTTCTCGAATACCCTAAGCGCAGAATCCAAATCACCAGAACGAATGTAGTTGGTTATCATCTTATTTGACGAAACAATGTCGCCAAACACATATCGATCGAATTGCCCAAGTTTTCTGTTGAAAATAGGTTTCCTTGACATCATCTTATCGGTGGGAACCACGTTGGTTTTGCCCGCCGGGTGGGAACGAGAAGAGTCGTAGGTGGCTTGTGATGAGGGCGGATTTGGCCCTCTAATAACCTCGTTGACACATCGCATCCCAAAACAGTTAGACGACACCCAGATGCCACCTAAGCGATGATTTGGAATCCTAGATCGTAGTTCGTCTTTGCCCCGACCTGACGACTTGCCTTTATCATTGACCTGGTGACCTCAATCACAACTTAGGTCAGCTTGTAGCACCTTGTCTAGGGACGACCTGTAGCACCTCATCACCGGCCGAAGTGACCTCGACGCAAGGCACGACTCTTTCGAGGGCTTGCTGACCTAACTAAGGACTAGACGGTGACCTGCGAGATGTGATCACCAACAAATTCGGCATGCATACCCCGACACTCCCAAGTTTCTCTGAAGTTGGCTCGCGTACCGAATGTTCTAGAGGATGATCAACGTGCATAGCGATTACCTCCGAGGATTTCAGGCCGGTAAGGCACGACCTCCTGAAAATCTCGGATGTGATGCGTGAAGCCTACACCAAACAATGCCTATATAAAGGCACCAAACCCAATGACACAGGGTACACGTGATTACTCACATTCAAGCTCTCTAGCATTCATACTTAGCTCGCAAACACACAGTATTTTGACTTAAGCATCGGAGCAGCCACACTAGGTCTTCCACCCTGGTCCCTTTGAACATTGTTTTGCAGATTGATTCAGCTCACCACGCGGGTACGTCCAGGTGGTTCCCCAGCTAAGAGCTTCTAGATCGCACACCATCAATTGGCGTCGTCTGTGGGAAACACTACAAGAAGCTAAGTTCTCACCTTCTAAAAAGCTAAGTCTTCATCTTCTAGAAAGCTAAGATCTCGCCTTTTAAAAGTTTAAGTTTTTACTCTCTAATTTCCATTTTTTATGAACTAAAAAGCATTTTTGAGCAGCACCAACATCCAAAACAAATATCAATTATTAGGGGGCAAGAACGTCTGTGATGAACCTTGAGAACTCCCCTGTGACAATCAGACAAATTTAGGCCGAACCCAGCATTCTTAGTGCCCCAAATAAATATACCAGTACCATATGAGAACTCTCCCCGCAATAGAGTTATCAACGGTTCCCGCCGGGATTGAAGCATGGAAATTCTATGAGATAAAGCATGAATTTCCAGATCTGAGCATGGGAGAAGCTTGATGTAAATAGCAGCAAAACGACCTCAACTCATCCTCAATAGCAATCAACCAGGATGAGGCCTCACCAGCCCCGTTTCGCGAGGTCACCTCTACAAGTCGAGCTCTTTGTGGCTCCCGTAGAAGCCGGCGACCAACAGATTGCATGGACGCCCTTGCAGGTTGAGCCTTCCAAGGCCCCCGTGCGAGCTGGCGACCTAAAGTCAATAGTGCTTCTCCCGCAGGTCGAGCTCCTAGTGGCTTCTTATAGAAGTGGATGACCGGTGTCATTACGAGGCTGATGCAGTGCAACCGTGGCCCCGAACTACCGACTCACGCCGATAACAAATTTATGTATCAACATCCCTCACAAGGGGGGCAGAACATGTACATTGTGGTCTCGCAAGCACTCACCCAAGAAGATAATCCCACTGGATGACGTAGAAGCAGCCATATGAGAAGTTACTACAGAATGACCACCCGCTTAGGCAGAGAGGTCAAGCCGCGCGTCGGCTCCTAGAGCCCAAGGGCCACGGTGCCGAACAAATAGTGACCTCGACACTAAACATGAATAAGACCCAATCGCCTCTTTGACATGGGCGAAATAAAAAAGCAGTTCATGTTCAGCCCCATCGGTGTGCAGACAGGTCGGGTACATATTGTTCTACCTCAGCCTCATCGGTGTGTAAAAGAAGAAAGAGAAAAAGAAGCGAAGGAAGGAAGACTAATTCAGCACAAGAAAGAGAAACAAAGGAAAGACTAGACCATGACAGACGCAAACTTGGCCAATCTCTTCATAGTAGACATCCACCTTGGTTTCAGGCTCTGCATTGAACTCGCTGGCTACTCTTTTGAGAACCAGCTTGAGGGACACTGCGTCGAAGTCTACCTAGGTGGAGCAACCTGATAAAGCAGTCACACAGAACCCCTTCTTGATGACGGTATGATGAGCTTTACTCTTGAGGTTCTTAGTCAGATTGCAATCCCCCTTGATGGTTGCATCCCTAATAAGGTAGATGTCTTCGGGGTACCTGTTCCACCTTTCCTCGAGCGGATGAATTTTCTCTTGTGCCCCGATAATCAAGACTGCAAGGTCCTGCGTAAGGCTACAAACACTTGGATTCTTTCGACCTGAGGAGCAAATTGGATTGATGCCAATGACTACGAGCTCATCAAATAGTCATTCTGGGCCAAAGGAATAATCTACTCCCTTTGTTGAGCTGCCCTCAGCTTGGGAGTGGGGGGCAATTGATGAGGGCGGTTTGGTCCTTTAATAACCTCATGACACATGGCATCCCAAAATAGCTGGACGACACCCAGATGCCACCTAAGCAATGATTTGGAGTCCCAGATCGTAGTTCGTCTTTGCCCCGACTTTGGCGACCTGCCTTTATTGTTGAGCTGGTGACCTCAATCACAACTTAGGTTGGCTTGCAGCACCTCGTCTAGGGACGACTTGTAGCACCTCGTCACCGGCCGAAGTGACCTCAACGCAAGGCACAACCTCTCTCGAGGGCTTTCCGACCTAACTGAGGACCAGGCGGTGACTTGCGAGATGTGATCGCCAACAAATTCGGCATGCATACCCCGACACTCACAGATTTCTTTGAAGTTGGCCCGCATACCGAATGTTCCGAAGGATGGTCAACGTGCATAGCGGTTACCTCCGAGGATTTCAGACTGGTAAGGCACGACCTCCCGAAAATCTCGGATGCGGTGCGTGAAGCCTACACCAAACAATGCCTATATAAAGACACCAACCCCAATGACACAGGATACACGCGATTACTCACATTCAAGCTCTCTAGCATTCATACTTAACTCGCAAACACATAGTATATTGACTTAAGCATTGGAGCGGCCTCACTGGGTCTTCCACCTTGATTCCTCTAAGCATTGTTTTGCAGATTGATTCAGTTCACCATGCGGATACGTCCAAGTAATTCCACAAATAGGAACTTCCGGATTGTGCACCATCAGCTTCTGTGTTGGCATTTGGGTGCAGAAATCTGAAGTTGGAAAGTGGAGAATAGCGGTATTTTGTTTGTGAAACCAAATATTCAAGCCCGTGCTCAGCACGGGTAACTCCGCTGTTTTATTACGTGGAACCGTATCACAGCCCGCTGAACCGCTAAAATGTTCAAGCTCGTCCGTTAACTATTAATTTGAAGCAGGACCCACGAAATCTTTGCATAGCCTTTACGGTATGGCCACGTATACATATGAAAGAATTATCTCCTTGGTTTGGTTATGACTCTACATTTGCGACTCATAGCGCCCAGAAGGAGCGAGAGCCGGGTCTAGACTCTAGAGAATAGAAACTGGAGTCTGAAAGTGAAGATTGAAGACAATAGACACAGATAGGGAGAGAGAGAGAGGGAGGAAATGGGAATGGCTTCTCATCTCTCTCCTCTCCAGCCTTCAATCGCTCCTCGTTTTTCTCTCATCAACAACTGCGGCCTCAAGAGCTGTAACTTCGTTTTCTCTTCTTTTCCTGTTTAGAATCCTACATATCTCTTCTGGAAAATTGAAAAAAAAAGATTTGGATTGTTGTTCGGTGTTGGAAGCTAATGAAATTCTTCTACTTGCGAAATTCCTTGTCTGTCTTTCAGAAAACGAAGTTTTGCTCGTCTTTGCAACCCTTCATGTCAATTTCTTTTTTACTGTATCTACTGGTTTATTTTATTTTTCTTTCTATTCTTTTCTTTTTGCAGAGTATTTTGCACATATAATCTTATTGGTATTTTTAAAGGGACTTTCATTATCTATATATAACAGTTTATGCACAAATTCCAGTTATCTAAACTGTATCTAATGCTTATATTGCCAATTATGTGTTGAAAACAATTATTGGATTCGTTTGTGAACTTCTTTTACTTCCCATCATGTCATTAGGGGATTCCTTCTGGTATATTGCTAATGGTTTTCATTCGAGTTATTATATTAAAAATTTAAAATGGCAGCCAAATCTAAGTCGGTTGGGTTGTACGTGAAATCTGGTATAGAAGATGACAGCCGTGCAGCAAGTATTCCGGACGAATCCTCTGGGCACCAACATATCAAGGTTGGTTTTTATTTTGCAGTGCCCCTTTGAATTTACACCGTCTAATTTACAGTTTGTACAGTGTTGTGGAAGCTGGAGTGGCTTGTCAAGTCGACCATGCCAAATGAGTTATAGGGCTCCTTTTAGCCAAACAACAAAATAGAGAAGTCAACAACTCAAATACGAGGAGATAACCTCCTTTGACATATAGTAGATTTGTTTAACTTTAGCTCTCAAGTAGGCATGAGATAGGACTAGTGGATTGTGCTTATGAGTAATGACATTAAGCCACAACATCCGAGACACTCACATGCATTTATGGAGTTGACATATCACACTCCCATTTGGAGCTTGTCCATGTGAAATTGTACTGCAGATAACATTCATCACATGCCAAAGCCCCTTGTGAATGAAAAGTGGTTTCATGCTTCTTCCTCAATTAATCTCATGGCTTATATGGAGACCTGTAATGCCAATGACTATGCTTCCATATTCAAAGATTAAAATAACATACTAGTTATCACCTATCCAGATTTGCACAAATAATAGGAGTTCCACCTTCACTTGCTTATATGTATTTCTTTTGATTGCTTTGAAATAATAATTGTGTGATTTCTTAAGTCCAAAGCAGTGATCTGTCATTGCATTTGGATATGAGTGCTCTTGTGCAAGCCCTACAACCTCCCCATTATATTTGCATTTAGGAGTGTTGAAAAATTTGTTGGAACCAAGGTTTAAAATGTCGATGTCGGTGGATATGTCAGTCATCCAAATATAAGAAACATGTCGGAAATGTCGTATGGAAATATTGTAAAAATTATAGACACGGTGGAAACATTGTAAAATATGCAAAATATAGAATGATATTTTATGAAATGACAAAAGAAGCATAGGCACACCTTTTTAAATTATTGTCTTGTTCCAAGTTATTAAACAAAACTAAGAATCTAGGATTATAGACAAAAGAATACATTTTGAAGTTGCCTTGTAAACCTTAAGCTTTAGAACTTAATAATAGAATTAGTTAAAGCAAAATTTAAACTCATAGAAAATGTAAATGATTGTAACAGATCAACCAAATAATATACTACAGAAACAAAAACTATTATTTAACTTCATGTTTGAAATGAATATTGAGCTAGCTCAAAGTTGTAATCATGTAAGTTAGGTGGACAATAACTTGTTACTTCACATATCTACAATATTGTCACCAACTTATGTTAAAATACTATCTCTTGTACTCCACATAGTACTGGTAGTGTTCAAAAGGAATATGTCAATTCTAGTAAAATTACATGTTGCTACCCATGGAAGTGAAAATGGAAATATGCTGTGGGTACTATCTCTTGTACTCCACATAGGTCTAGTAGTGTTCATTGGGGAAATGTTGATTCCAGTAAAATTTCATGTTGCTACCCATGGAAATGGAAATATGTTGTGGAAATATTAGGGAAGTTAGGGACAATTTAAACTATGGTTGGAACTCTTTAGAATGATTCTAGTAATGAGAGAACACTTCTTTGATATGGACTTTCTTTGTACTGAAAACTTTCTCAAATAAATGACATAGCTCCAGTTTGTAATGGAGCTTGAGAATTTCAGTTTATACTTGTTTTCTGATTTTTCCATCTATGCAGTCTATATGATCATCATTATTTATCCAACTTTTCCTGATTGGTGGGCATGAAAGCTTTATTTAAAGAAAAGTGTGAATGGAGATACAGAATAAGGTTGTTAGCTCAATGCTTAATAGCATACCACCTTCTACACCCAAAACAAGATTCTACCTGTAGACAAAATCTCTCTGTCTCAGACCCTTAAGCTCATTATGAAAAGAGTCCAGTTCACCAAGAGATGACAAAATGTAACTGAAGATGCACTGGACCTATGATTTTTTTTTATAACTATTTTTTTATGTTGCAAAAAAACTATTGTATAGAAAAAGGAACCATAGACTACAAATATTGCTCCTAGATCACACAAGAACCAGAAATCCATGACAGAACTGATCCCACATAGAGGAGGAACCTACCATGATATCTGGAATACAAAGCAGATAAACACCCAAAGAAGGGTGTGGCTGGGCATAAGTGGAAGAGGTGATGCACATTTCCTTCAGAAGACCTACACTTAGCACAACAATTCTGGAGGTGATGACTCAGTAGACCTCCATTATTCAGTGACTCACACTCAAAATGCCTTGAGGTGCATGTGGAAGTGTGGATTTATCTGAGTTGTATGCCTCTAGCTGTTTGCATTATTTTTGAATATTAATGTTCTCTACTAATGTGTTGCCCTCTCTTATCATATGATATGGATTTCATCATATGCTAGAGCATATATCATACCTTCTATCAAGTAAATACATACCTACTTTTTTTGCAGAGAAATGGGGTTTTAGTCTCACGGCGCCAGTGTCTTGCTTGTTTATGTTCAAGTCTAGCTTTGATAAATGTTTCCACCACTTCTATGTCTGTACCAAGAGCAATTGCTTTGGAAGGAAAAGAAAGGCCTGTTTGTCGGAACTGTGGGGGTAGTGGCGCCATAATCTGTAAGTATATTGCTTTTAATTATATTTATTTTCATCTTATTTTAGTTTTAACTTAAGTTAGTCAAAGATGTCATCCAGATTGTGTGCCTAAAACTGAAATTACAAGTTTTTTCTGATCAATATTTTACTTTGTCACTGTGAAATGCTTGATCAGCTCTCCCACAAGCATATGTAAAATGGATGTAGATCCATAAATTTTATCCTGTTTATGTGGTGGGTTCGTTTATGAGGAGACCTTGGGATCTCCAAATTCGTTTAAATATTTGCAGCTATTTTACAATTATGTTTCATAGAGCAAGTCCTGACAGTATAAGACTCGTATGCCTGTTGTCAAACAATCATATTAAAGGCAGTCCATATTTTTAGACACCAAGATGTGATCCTCTTACAAAAACAGTTATCTATATCCATCTGGGCTTTTTTTATTAGTAACAGTAAAAATATTATTATATTTTTGTGAACTGGCAAAGTATTATATTATTTTACGAATAATGTAACTCTGTATAAGTAAAAAGTGTCATAGTACCCCTTACTTTGGTCCAAATACTACTGCCTGTTCTTTACTTCTCTTTTTCTTTTCTCTTTTACAAAGTTATCCCATGTGAAACCTGCCGTTAGTATGGTTGATTTCTGTCCACACCCTGCCTTGCTAGTGCCTTGAGCCGCATAATTGGCTGATGTAGGTGTCCATCTGTATATAACTACCAGCTGCCTTGCCATCTTTTTAATATCCTGAGCTTCATGTCTATAGTGCCACGATCTGTTTGTATAACATGGGAAATCAACTTCAACCATCAAATTTCTGAAATTTAAATTTTTAGCAAGCCTCAATCCTTGTTGAACTACCATTGCTCTATATATATTTTTTAAAAGAGGTAAGGTAAAATTTATTTATGATGAAAAAATTATCATACAACACTCCCTAAGGCGTGACTTCGTCGTGGCTTTCGCCAGCAGAAAAAGATCTCACCGGCAGTAGCCTACTGAAAGGAATGGCTTTCGCTGCCATCAAAAGATGGGACCAGGGTATCTCGATCAGAAGTGGGAACATTTTCCCTCAAGAGAGATGGTGGACAGGCCGGAAAAAATGGTTACCTTGGGTTTGGCTGTCGGAAGGTAAGGTGAGCATTAATTAAAGCTAACCAGCAACACCTTTTCCTGGAAGTAGATGCCGGAGGAGTGGAAAGGCGGAAGGATTTTCTTCAGGCGTGCCTGGTCGGGTGTTTGACCGGAAAGACTTGAGGGTGGAGGAGGTAGGTCAATGGGTGTCTAAAGCTTGGGGTTGTCCAAAAGGCATTGAGGTGCGTAGGCTTGATGGAGAGTATTGGCTCTTCATCCTCCCTTCTCAGGAAGACGCTAGAAGAGTGGTGAACTTTGGCTCCAGATGTTTCAAAGGTTCTCTGTTGCACCTCGAACATTGGTCAGACTCATCTGGAACTTGACAATCCTCCAAGGGCATACTTGGTTTTGTGTGGCTAAGGGTCTATGGTTTGCTGTTACACCTTTGGAGCACGAACCTTTCCAGAGGCATAGGGGACCTCTGCGGAGGCTTTTTGGAAGCCGATAACTTTGAAGCCGGTAAAGGTAGTGTAGAGCTTTTTTGGGTAAAAGAACGCTGGTCAGGGGTACCTCCTCCGACGGTTAATGTAGTAGTAGGTAATTCAATGTATGTGGTTACAATCTGGCTAGAGATAAAGCCGGAAAAGATGCTGGTGCCGGCGGATTTTTCTGAAGTGGTACAAGTCGAGCAGAACCTGATTCAGCAAGTTCTGGCAGGCTTCTCCATTGCCGACGACACCAAAGGGAGGTTGGAAAACTCTGGTGGTTTAGAGCAGCAGGCGGAGGAGTGTTCTGCCACTTTGGAAGTTTCTAGGGCTCATGACAATGCCAGAGATGGAGAAGAAGATGGTTGGCAGACAGTCAGGGGAAGGAGGAAGAAACATCAGAACCATAGGATGGACTTTGGATCGAACGATCAAGAAGGAAAGGCGGGTCGGATTGACTTGAGAAAGGGGTTTAAATCTTTTCAAATTTTAAAAAACATGGAAGTAGCGGACGAAGAGCCCTTTTTAGACCGCTTAGCAGGCGCGGTTTTGGACCAGTTCAAGTCGAAGGGGTGGGATTTGGAACTGGCTATTTTGGGCGAACCGAGTCAGACTGATCATCCTAGTGGGCCTGGCCCAGTTCGGTTAAAAAGCCCTCCTAGAATGGTGTTTAAGGGAAAGCCTTCGGTGAAAGGATCAAGAAAGGGGAAAGAGGTGGCAGTGTCTGCTTCTTCTTCAGAAGAGTCAGACACAGAAGAACCTTTCTCGCAGGATGACGGTAGTTCTATCTCAACCTTCATAGAAAGCTGGTCCAGAAGTAAAACCTCGAGGCAGGAGACAGATGGAACAGAGCTCTTTGACTCCTCAACCAGTCTCTTCGCCTCCGGTGGCTCAGGACTGTAGGGGCCTAGAAGGGACATAGGCCTTTCGTGGGGGGGGGGGGAGTGGACAAGGAGGTGATCCTCTTAGCCTAGATACAGAAAGGGAGAGTTCTATGGACGGTGTTTTGTTGCAAAGGAAACGGAAGATTCAGTTATGGCAGGGGCTTTGACTGCGTTAAAAGGTTCATCACCTGTCTTCCAGGAACCATTAGCAATGATTTTACTAGGAAACAAAGAAGCTGTTGGTCCCCTTTCAGTGTCTCAGCATCAGATGGTTAACCTAAGGTACGCAAAGGAGGAAGAGGTATCGGCGTGGGTGCTGTCTAAGCTGTTGTCGTTTGGGGAGTTTCTGGGTATCTCTATAAGAGGCTTGGAGGACGAAAAAAAAGCTTTTTTGGTTGCAATTGAGAATAGACACTTAATGGAGAAGGGCAAGAAGGACCAGAGGCAATCTAAAGAGCTGTTGCGTCTGGCTTGGGGCCTTAATGATGGTGGAGGGGCAGGGAGCCGAAATAGTAGATCTGTAAGAAGAAAATTTATGGAGAATTTGAAATTGATTTCGTGGAATGTGAGAGGACTTGGCTCTGGTAGGAGACTGGTGATTGGGAATTTTTTGAAGGAGAAGAAACCTGATACCCTTTTGTTGCAGGAAACGAAACTCCAAAATTTCAGCTCCAGAATAGTGAGAAGTGTATGGGGTTTTGGCCCATGTGATTGGCTATTACTAGCGTCAGTTAACACTCCTGGCGGTGTAGCTGTAATTTGGAACACAAGCAGCTAGATAAAGAGATTGGCAGATTTTCTGTTTCAGTTAGACTGCACTGGATCCCATCTGATGTTTCTTTGGTTGTGACTGGAGTTTATGACCCCGTTGAGTCCAGCCTAAAAGAAGCTTTCTGGGCGGAGCTAGAGGGTGTGAGAAGGAAGTGGAGTGGACCCTGGACAATCGGTGGGGATTTCAATGCCATCCTAAGGGTGGAAGACAAAAAGGACTGCACTAGATCAGATAGAGGTATGCGGTTATTTTCAGATTTCATGCAGAAATGGGAGTTGATTGATCTGCCTCTGCCCTGGGCGTCCTATACTTGGACTAACAACCAAGAGCAGCCTTCTCTGGTCAGATTGGATAGGTTTGTAATTTCCAATGAATGGGAGAAACTCTTTCCCAATTTGATTCAAGAAGCACTTCCGAGACCAGTTTCAGACCATGTGCTCTTGCCAGCTGAACATAAATGGAATTAGAAGACAGGGTCAACCTTTTAGGCTGGAGCACTGTTGACTGGGAGAGGAAGAGTTTGATTCCTTTGTCAAGAAGTGGTGGGCTGAAGCTTCTTTTGAAGGCACTGCGAGCCATGTCTTAAGCAAGAAGCTCCAATGGCTTAAAAGCAAAATAAAGGAGTGGCAAAAGGATAGGCAGAAAGCTGATTAATCAAAAAAGTTGAATGTCTGGAGATCATTAAGGAACTGGACCTTCTGGAAGAAGTAGGTCCCTTGGGGGGAAGACCAAAGGCTGAAAAGGTTGCTTGTTAAAAAGAATTTTGATGTGTTGGCTTTTCAGGAGGAGGTCAAGTGGAGGCAAAGATCAAGAATTAAGTGGTTAAAGGCAGGCGACAGTAATACTGCCTTCTTCCACAAAATGGCCAATGCAAGACGGAGAGTTAACTCAATTTTGAGGCTACTGTCAGTTTCTACTGTTAGTTATAGATGGTTGTGAGGTGCCGGAGAAAGGAGAAATTGAGAAGGCTACTGTCAGTTTCTACGAGAACTTATACAAAGAACAGTGCAGATTTAGGCCAAAGCCAGAGGGGCTGAGTTTCAAAAGCCTTTCTGGGCAAGAGGCAGAAGAGCTGGAAAAGCCTTTCTCAGAGGTTGAAATCAAGAAAGCTGTGGATGAGCTGGAAGGGGAGAAGGCTCCTGGACCCAATGGTTTTACCATCTGTTTCTTTAAAAAATATTGGGAGCTAGTCAAACAAGATTTTCTAAAAGTCTTTGAGGAATTCTATACTTTGGCAGCTTTTGAGAGGAGTCTGAATTCAACCTTCATCTCCTTAGTCCCTTAGAAGAATGGAGCCGAAGAGCTGAAAGATTTCAGACCCATCTGCTTGTTAGGGAGTATTTATAAGATCTTGGCTAAAGTGCTAGCTACAAGATTAAGGAAGGTCATGAGCCCTCTGATTTCCAGCTATCAAGGTGCTTTTGTAAGCAACAGACGTATACAGGACAGTGTCTTAGTTGCCAATGAACTCATTGACTTGAAAGTTAGGAGTGGGAGGGCAGGTCTGGTTTGTAAAGTAGACTTAGAGAAGGCTTACGATCATGTAAACTGGGCTTATCTAGATTACATGTTGGACAGAAATGGAGAAACTGGATGAAAGTTAGTATCACAACCTCTAGTTTCTCAGTTTTGATCAACGGGGCAGCTAAAGGCAAGTTCAGAAGTTCGAGGGGTTTAAGACAAGGTGACCCTCTGTCATCTTAGCTGTTCTTGATAGTAATGGAGGGCTTAAGCAAAATGACTGAGAGAGTGGCAGAGTCAGGCCTGCTGGGAGGTTTTGAGATCAGTCCTGGAGGTACAAGAGTCTCATTTGCAGTATGTTGATGACACACTAATTTTTTGTGAGGTTTCTCCGGAGCAGGTCCTTAATCTCCGCTTCCTTTTGAGCTGGTTTGAGGTGGTGTCAGGCATGAAAGTTAACTTCTCTAAAAGTGAAATGCTACCAGTTGGGACCATCTCGAATCTTCAAGAGTTGGCTGAAGTGTTGGGGTGTAAAACAGGTAAATTCCCCTCCTCTTACCTTGGTCTTCCCTTAGGAGCAAAGAGTAACTCAAGCATCATTTGGAATCCTGTTTTGGAAAGAGTTGATAGAAAACTTGCCTCATGGAAAGATAGATATCTCTCCAAAGGGGGTAAACTGGTTTTGGTTAAGAGTGTTCTGGCCAGCTTGCTGACCTACTATATGTCTCTCTTCTTGATGCCCCGGAGGTGGCTGTGAAGATTGAGAAAAAGATGAGGGACTTTCTGTGGCAAGGGTGGAAAGACTCCTCGAAGTACCACTTGGTAAAGTGGGAAGAAATATGCAAGCCCATTTCCCATGGTGGGCTTGGGAAGCTGGTTTTGGAGATCCTCCACTGAGAGTCAGGAGCTGTGGAGGATGTTAGTAGCCGAAAAATATGGTTTTAGTGAAAATGGTTGGGATGCCGGAGGGTCACAGCAATCTTTTGGGTGTAGTGTATGGAAAGGTGTTTATAAAGCCTATACTCTTTCATCAGAGGTATTTTTATAAAGTAGGCGATGGTAGGCGACTGAAGTTCTGGTTGGATCCTTGGTGTGGTAACTTCTCTCTAAAAGAAAGGTTCCCTGTTTTGTATGATGCAGCTGAAGAAAATTTGGTGTCGGTTGCAGATTGTTTTGCACAGGTGGGAGGGGTTCTAGTTTGGTCCCCTGCTTTCAGAAGGAATTTCAACGACTGGGAGTTGGATCAGGTGGCTGAACTGCTCTCTGTGATTCAAGAACAACACCCAGATCTGCAATCTGAGGATACTAGATGCTGGTTGTGGTCCAAATCTGGTTGTTTTACTGTCAAATCTTTCTATATGGGAGAGCGCAACTCCTTTGGAAGTCAAATTTTTTCTGTGGGTAGCCGCTAAAGGAAAATGTCTCACCAAAGGAATGTTGAGTAGGAAGGGTTTCAGCTTATCAGATTTAAACTGTCCCTTGTGCAATTTGGCTCCAGAAACAGCAAATCACCTTTTTTTACACTGTGGTTTCACAGCAGAGGTGTGGCAGCACTTCCTTAGAGCTATAAATCTGAGTTGGTGCTGGCTGGAATCAGTCTTTGGTTTGCTACAAGGGTGGAGAGTTCTTGGTATGTCCAAGGAAGGAAATCTAGTATGGTCTGCCGTTCCAGCTGCTGTTTTATGGGCAATCTGGATAGAAAGGAACAATAGGATTTTTGAACCAAAAAACAGGACTGAGGATGGGGTGATTAACTTTGTAGTGGAAGAGTTGAGAAGCTAGTTGTCTAGCTCTGATTTGTTTAAAGATGTTTTTTGTTCTGGGGCTTTTTTGAGGGTGAACTTTTTTGGGGGGCTGTAAGGTTGTTTGTATATTCTCTTGTACAGTCTTTTTACAGCTCATACTGAATACAACACTTTACCTTTCAGAAAAAAAAAAGATTATCATACAAGAACGGGGGAAACCACAAGCCAGTTCACCCCCAAAGGATATGATCATAACTCCCACAAACTTAACTGAGCTAAGAATCACAAACAAGTTCTGATTACAAAACTCGGGGATGATAGAAAGCCAAGAAGCAAGTCTTGCCACAATACACTGGATTAACACTTCCAATTCTTGATTCCCTTGGATTACCAAGATTGAACCTAGTAGAAATTACTGATTGTAGATTTAGTTGAATTTCTTGTGTAAGGAAAAGGGGAGGAAGATAAAGATTTCAGTAGTAGAGAAGAAAAGAGAGGGAGAAAAGAGTAGGAAGTCAACCAGGATTCTTGAAATAACCCTAGCCGCCAACCCCTCATTATATTTATACTTAACTTAAAGGATGAGATATTACAAGAATGCCCTTAGTAGGGCAGCTACTAATGTAGCTGAACAGTCACAACTTAAAAACATAAACTAATGGGCCTAAAGCCCAACAACTTCCTAACTAAATAGCTTAAAATAAGAATAAAAAGCAACTAGGCCCAACTCAACAAACCCATCAAAGTTCAACTTATTATTGAAGGGGTGGAGACCAAACCTAAGAGAGGTCCCCTCTACCTGAGGAAGGGCTTGCAACAATATGTTTTTTTTTTTTCTTTGGAAGGTGGCAATCAATTTATAAAGAAAAGGAAAAGGCTATAAAGGGAGAGATTTCCTTTGCAGCTGGCTACAAGGGAGCATACAGCCACCGAATAAAAAAGCATGATCAAAGAATGATGTGGACGTGTATTGGGTGCAGCAGCAGCAATGATCCGGTGTTCTCATCCTATCCAATTTGGCAGCAACAGTCTTATCCATTCGGCAAATTAGATTACACTATCTTGTTATTCTTATCTTATCTTATTAAGTTAGTAGATTAGATTATCTTATCTTATTAGGTTGCCTTATCTTATTAGATTAGGATTAAGAGAGACTTATCTTATTAGATTAGGAATAAGAGAGACTTATCTTATCAAGATAAAGCTGGAGGTCTCCCTAAGAACAGAACTCTTGTAATCTCCTATTTAAGGAGCCACTATTAGTGAATAAAGGCATGGAAAATTTCAGTCAAGAAAGAGAGCAGAGGAGAGTTAGGTGATCTCTTGAACAAATCACCATTAAGGCGCCAAGATAGGTTCATCAAGAGCAAGGAGGAACAAGGGAAAACAGGAGGTTTTCCCCGTGGACCGACCCGTGACGAGATCCTATTCTCGGGCCCTTAACAAAGAACAACATCAACCAGCAAAGGTGTCATCCCACAAAATAGAACCTGGTGATCGGTGAAATGGTTATACTTTAGTCCTCTAAGCATCTTGTTGATCGAGGCCCACTTTAGAAGAGTCTTCTCAATCTTGCCACAAAGCTTCTTGATGGGCAGGGAGATTTTCAAAAATTTGGTTGTTTCTTTCCCTCCAGATGCACCAACAGATTGCAAAACGCACCATATTCCAGAGAGCCCTCTCCCTTCCACTGATATCATGGATGGAGAAGGCTGAAAAGTTGTCCAAGGTCTTTACTAGGCATTTTTATATTTGGATTTCTACTCTTCTTTTTGAACTACTTTCTTTCTTTGTTATTGTGGGTATATACACTCAGCTACTTCCCTCATTAACTTATTCTTAGATGATATAATGGTGGTTTATTGAATTATCATCATTTTCTTTTTAAGAAAAATAAAGTAATTGCCAGTTCATTATACATGTTAACTAGATCTTATCTTCTTAACGTTATGTTCATGTTAGATGGATTCTGTCAGAATCAAATTCTTTGACAAACAGGCTTGCTAAATCTGAGGTTGAAGTGGAATGGGCTCTCTTGTAGTGATTAATTTTTACATCTTTAGTTATTGCGTATAGGAGGGCTATCTTTATCCTTTTTGTACGTTTTTTTTTTTTTTTGCTGCAATTCTTGTACACTATTATACATCACTCATATACACTCTATTAACTAACTAATTAGGGTGGTGTTTTCATGGCTACTGATTTCCAGTAATCAGAATCACAACATGGTTTCAAAATTATGTGTCTAGAAAATATTTTGACTAAAAAAGGTGTTTACTAAATATCATGTTGATATGGTGTTTCCAAAGCAATTCTTGTAAAAATATATCTGCCAATACCTGTTTTCAGCATATTGATCTCTGTTTTGTATCGAGTCTCTTGAGATGCATCAAGGACATGTGCCACAAAATCCCATAGATACAAATGATTTCTGGAATCAGAGAAATCAACTTTTTGACAATTAATCGAAATTTCAAAATCCAAGGCAACATTTCTATTGCTTATTTTCTGTGAATCAAGAGATTGCAAATGCATTTTATGTGATTATGTTAATGTGGTTTCTTGAGAAAGTGCAGAAGTTGCCAAAATCCACCTAATTAATATAGTTTATACTGTCATCTATTCTGTTATGTGATCTCATTCTTCATTATATCTTTGACTTGCTACTCTAGCATCAATGCCATGCTTGGCATGAACGCACATATCTTCCCAGGAACGTATCTTTCAATTGCAACTCTAGTGTCAATGCTATGATTCTGACATGAAGAAACTGAAATATGGAGATGTCATTGAGCATTATCTGTACAGAACTAGAGAAGTCAATGGAAACCAGATTCTTAATTTTCTGGGTGGTTTCCCAATATATTAGTTATTTCTTTCCATTACTTTTCTTAGTAATGCTGGTGGGTTGTATTTCATTTCATGCACTTGGAATTGCTATCTGCAATAGTCAAATTTTAAACGAATTGTAGAATAACCTTTTGGGGGATATTGATGTCAAAGCATTCACAGTTGACTCCAAAAATGTTTCTGATAGGTTACTCTGTTCCCTAAGATCTCACTTGCTTTTTGGTTCAGGTGATATGTGTGGTGGTACAGGAAAATGGAAAGCTCTGAACAGAAAACGGGCAAAGGATGTTTATGAGTTTACTGAATGTCCAAATTGTTATGGTATGTGCCCTGTTTTCACACTATACTTGTTCTTCTGTTTTTTTGAAAAAGGTATCTTGAGTGCTGGTGTGCAGTTTTTATTAAATTAAAATTGTAAGTGTCCTAACTCTAGTCTGTTGTAACACAGGCCGAGGAAAACTTGTTTGCCCAGTTTGTCTAGGAACTGGTTTACCCAATAACAAGGGGCTTCTCCGGAGACCTGAGGCAAAGAAGTTGCTCGATAAAATGTATAATGGCCGGTTGTTGCCAAGTTCATAAGGAAATCCTTGATTTTGTATACTGTGGCATGCATTTACTTCAACTTATGATATGCTTTGTTCTAAATCTTGTCTTGCCTCTTCTTTTTGCCCAATTTTATTTTAGCACTTGAGAATTTATTCTTTCATTGATTCTACCGAAGAACTCACTATGAAAAGGTAATTATAAAATATTATATTCATTATGTGGAGATTTCAAATAATCCTTGACATTAAAACTAATGAATGGAGGAATTATAATCAAAACGTAAGTGCAGATTGAAGACCGAATTCCCTTAAAAAGCATTTAGGGGAACAGGAGGAATGGGAATGGGATTCTGGTTCCACCCAACCAAACAGTTGGAATCGGAATCGCATGATTGTTTTTGGTTTGATAGAAAAATAATAGAGACACAGAAGAGTTGAGAGGTTTTGAGGTTGAGTGAGAGTTCCAAAAAATTGTGAATACTTTTCCTATCAAACCAAACACAGCCTTATAGCTATCCTTAAATCTCCTTCAATCTTTTCTTTCCATTCTTTAGAGCTTACAAAAGCAGCAATGTTCTTTTTTTGTTTAATTTATCCAGGTAAACGAGATTCCTTACTTTCCCATGTTCTTTTGCAACACCCACTTTCCTGGGTAAGTTATTTTTTCACCTCTTACCAATTTTACCTTTTAGGTTAGTAACCCCCCAAAGCAACTGGTTTCTGCTTACTCCCTGCCTAGCCATAGCCAGTGATGAAGGCAGGGCAAGGTCCAGAGATGCACCCTTTCCTGCTTAACATATAAGAAATTATAATAGGTGCATATGTATTACTTCAGGCAAGCTGTTGAAAGTGTCAAAAGCCCTTCCAATGCCATCTAAAAGCTAATACAGTAAAATATTGAACAACACAGTAACACTGCACCACCTTGTAAAAGGATATGCCACAGATAGTGCTCCTGCTGGTGCAATGCCAAGTACTTAACATGAGCAGGACCTTGATATGCAGAGACAACTAAAACCAAATTGCTGCATATGTTTTTCTCCTTTTTAACTTGATATGAAGCACTTTGGGTTCTGTTGGTACTCCTGTTGCCTAACTTGAGAGATTTATTGACCAAAAAGTTCCAAGTGTGGATAGAAGTTTGAAGGATGAGATGCTTATATAACTGAAATACCTGGAATGCATTCAAAAGAGATGTAAAACATGCAATTAAAACCCTCTGGTCAACATGGTTTTGTCTTTCCTCATCCAAGTTCTAGAGACAAATTGGAAATCAACAATCTTCAATGGCATTGATTTCTGGGTCCAATAAGATGATATGGTTGATTCCAAAGTGGTAAGAAGATATAGCATGATACTACAAGCCTTGTTAGTATATAACCAATCAACCCAATTAATTATCATAAAACATTTATGTTTCTTCTATCTTGCACTGATTCTAAATGAATAACTGTTCAAATGGTTTCTGCTAACTTCCTGCCTAGCCATAGTCAGTGATGAAGGCAGAGCAAGGTCCAGAGATGCACCATTTCCTGTTTAACATGTAACATATTTCTAAACATTCATCATTCTTATTCACAAAAATCTAGGTGAGGAAAGCTTACAGATTTAAAATAGAACTATATAAAGGATTTCATTACTGTTTCAAGGGTATATATGATTGGGGAAAAGAAAGAAAAAGTCACATACTTCAGTTCAGTTTACATATTGTTGTAAACCACTTTTCCCCATAATCTGAAAGCTAGTGTTCAAATCTGGAATTGCAAAATTCAGCATGATATCACCATACTCGGACAAAAAATCAGCACAAAGGGTTCAAGCATGTAAACACCATTTTATCATTCCAAACCGACAACAATATGTTTCTGCTCAAACAAAAAAAGAAAAGAAAAAGAAATACAAGATTCTACCACCATCCCCTTGACATTGATAGGCATAAATGCATCATAAACCACACACTAGGAATATTGTGTCAGCCCGCTTCCCTCAAACAACATTACAGAATCCAGAGGTTGGTGTATGATGAACTTGTACCTGATACAAAAAGAACTTCTACCATTGATTTCTCAAGAAATTACTACCATATCCTGTGGGGGAAACGCCAACAATCATGTAAAAATTGAGGTAAGACCTAGGTTCCCTTCCAGGAGTTGGTCGCAACACCATTAATGATATTATGGGAATTAAAGTAAAATATTTTAATTTTACAATACTATACCGACTAATTTAGAGTTGAATAAGAAGCTGCAGATTTTAAAATGAACCAGTGTGGATTTTTATACAGGTCTGAACTTCTCTGATCCCATTTCTATTATAAAACGAGCATTTAGGGGCACAAGACCAGCTATGAGGTTTGACCATGTAGTAAGTTTGCCACTGATCACTACAATACTTCCACGAAGTCCCATAGCTAGTCTAACTCGGTACCTCATATTGCTGTTCTTCTGCTATCTCAACAGAAACTGAATTTCATTGCATAGTCCATTTTAATTATCACGGAATCTATTACCCAGATTTTTCTTTCGAGTCTCTGGAAATTTATGGTAGCAGTAGTTCTATTGAGCTGCAGCTCCTACCCTATTGATTATCGTGAAATGAAATCTGGTATACGCAAAGCTAATTCAAGAGACAAAGTTAGATTACGTGGCTATCAAATAGGCACAACGCCATTCCTTTGGGAGTTTATCAGAGAATCTAATGACACTAAAGAGAATCTAATGACACATTGTTGTCGGTTGATAGCGTGGGAGTTTATCAGAGCATAACGCTATCAAATGGCACTTCAGAGAATCTAATGAAGGTTTTTAATCATCACTACAGAGAATCTAATGACACTTCAAAATGTTTCCTCTTACCAATTTTGAAATTTTTACATCTCGATCTGGGCAAATGGCCATGCATCCGGCCATCCCCTCCGTTCTCCCGGTCTGGGATGGCCAACTGAGACTTAAAGCTACTCTCGATAAATACCAACATGGCTGGCACTTCCATGTTGCACTGGGGAAACCCATTTTGCATTGAACACCACCACCCCCTAAAATCGATCTAGCTTGGATCATAAACCTTCTTCCTACCGTTGCTAGAGCAGACAGTTTCAATTTTCTTCACTATCAACATGAAGATAACACCTTGGAGGGCGTGGGCATTGCACATCTGCATTTTCCTTTTGACATCGAAAAGATGGATAAAGTTATGGGTCCTATCATCTATGATATGGAAAAGATATGATATCTGAAAAACCTCTGATCAGTCAATTAAAATCATGGTGGCCAATCAGGTGTTATTTATCAAAATTCATAGGTGGATTTTGATTGGTCAAAACTCTTCCCATACCATATCTTTTCTGCACCATAGATTTTCCCTAAGGTTATAGATTGAACCCAAGCCTAGGCAAGGTTATTCTGTTATTAAATTTTGCTGGGTGTTGTAAACCCGTGGTTTGGAGTCGGTTATAACTCCTATATCAGGCTAAACCTTCAACTTCTACAATGAATGGGGAATTAACTCTTGGATTTGTCTCAACGCTCACCGTAGGAAGATTTTATACTTGGATGTAAAAACATCATCAATTTCAATGCGAAAACACCAACTATGTGGACTCCACTTGCATATATTTTTGTTCCTACTGTAAATTGGATTACAGGAAAAAAAAAAGACTCGTGAAGCATTGAAACTCTCAACCAACATGAACCACCAAATCAATGACTCCACTACCCATATGCTACCCATATAGCCTTTATGATAAAATCATGGATAGGCTTGTAACAATATAAATGGTTGAGAAATTTTCTACTGAAACAGACTATTTGTGTGATAAAATTTCAAAGTCCGAAACCAAAAACTGCTCGTATCTTGTAGAAGATGAGCTCCCGCCAGCCTCTCTCGGTGTTCTCAACAACAGTAGCATTGCCATATCTGCATCGCAACTTGCAAACAGTAATACTCAGAAAAGAAAAACGATTAAAAAAGCCCCAAAACCAGAAGAATATAAATAACAGAAAGAACCGCAGAAACCCAACCTGTCCTCCTCCGGTACGTCCGTCTGGGTTAGCTTAACAATGGTAACACCGGTTTCAGGCTCGTCAAAAGTAAGCCGCACCTGCAACGTTGAACAAATGCATATCCTGGTCAATTCCAATTCCCCAATCCATGAAGTTATTATGAGGAAAAAGTAATCAAGGACAGCCGATTACCGTCGAAAAAATCCCGTCCGCCCAGCTCCCGAACCTCCATTTCTGAACAATCAGCTTTCCTTCCTGCAACTCTTGATTAGTCCCGGTAATTGAGCCATCGAAAAGACTGAACTGTCCTCCGACCTCTTTACTTATCTTTGCATTACTCTGCGTAAAACCTTTCCACCTATTTTCATCCATCAAGATCTCATACATATCCTTCGCCCGACAATTAAACCTCTCGGCTAAAGAAATGGACTTGAACCCCTTCTTCCCTTCCTTGTTCTTACCCTTCTTCGCTGGAGCGGCGGCGGCAGTAGGTGCGGATACCGGAGCAGGGGACGGAGATTTTGTTGCTGCCTTCTTCAACTCCAAGTCATCCTTGGCGGGCCCTCCTTTAGCCATACTCTGAACATAAACCCTAACTTTCTCCAAAATAATGGACTTCCCTTTGGATACAAAGGCATCTTTTAATCTCTTCCCGATAGGACCATCGTCTTTAACAGTGATCTTGACTTCGGGATCTTCATCGGCGTTTTCGTCGGCAATGTAAGGAATCTCGACGTTTCCATCGACTTTGAGGAGGTACTTACCGTCGGCATCCTTGGCTTCGCCTTCCCAGGAGAGAGAGACGCTGATCTCGTAACCGGGAATGATCTTACCCTTGCGGATGTTGACGTAGGCTTCTCCGTCGACCTTTTCGACATTCTTGGTCTTAATGAAGAGGTTGCCTTCGCCGTCAAGGATGGTGAGGTTGGAGAGGAGCTTGGAGAGGAGGTTTCGGGACCAGTCGAGACAGTTGGTTTCGGCCCAGTGCCAGTTATGGACGTTGGCCCCGTCGGCTCTCTCTTCAACAATCCAGCGCTTGTCGCCTTCTCCGTATTTCGCCATGAGCTGAGTTACAGAGAAAAGAAGTGGGAAGAATAAGATGCTCTAGACAGAGATGGAGGGGTGGATCTAGTGCGCGAGAAAATTCTAAATTTCCAATAATAGGAGGGATGCCTGCCGAAACGCGAGGCGGAGAGGAATCAGAGAATAAAATATGGACGGGGATTGGGGAAGAAAAGTGGGGATTCTGGAGGGTTCCAATTCGGAAGGCTCTAGAAGGAGCGAGGAAGGGCTCCGGATATGCTACCCTCTCGGGGCTCCCCACATTACTCCCTACATCACAGGACAGTGACGAGTTTAGACTTGCACCCCCCACTAAGGCGCCCACATGCACATTTCAGCGTCCATCGGGAACATCTTCTCAATACACGGTGGGAATGGGAACATCTCAGTATGAGCGACCATTTGCACCTTTTCGAGTTAACCATTACAAATAAACAATTATTTTTGGTCATGCATTGATGTATGATGAGACAATTGGGTCCGGAAAAGTATTTTCAAAAATATGCTTTACCATATATATCAAAATGCAGCTAAGCATTTAAAATCGAAAACCTTAATATATACGTGGTATCACTTGTTTTAAAATCCAATATTACCCTTTCCTCGTCCCTTTCTTCCTTTCCGTAGCGGTAAACCGAACTGGGATAACCAGCGGCGGGAATATCCCATCCACCTTTGGCCCCTCGTTGTCGCAACATTTGCTCGTTCCTTCACCTCTCCGACTCTTGTCTGTTACGCAAACTCGAGATGGGTCCTCTTCAGGGACCTGGGTTTTTCTCAATCTCAATCCTTCTATTTGTTAGTTGCATCAAAATCATCGGCGGAAGCACTTCCACCGACCTCTTTTACTCGTACTTCGATGGCGGAGCCTATATTAGTTCTGAGGATTCGTTCCTCAAGAACAGAAGTCCATATCAGCGTTCACACTTGCTGTCAACGTCGCCATCGTTGGAGGAGGAGGACTGGGGGTTTGGGTCACGAAGTATTCGGAGGAGATCCTGGAGATGGCGAAGCGGCCGGAGACGATGGAGTGGCTTAAGGGGTTGAGGAGGAGGATACATGAAAACCTTACCTGAACAAATCGCTTACGCTGGCGCACTGCTGTGAGTTGTGGGTGCGTAGGTGAGAGGGGCTTCGTTCTACACTCGTGTTCAGACTGAGTTCTCCACTCAGTCACGACAAGGGCGATCTGGGCAGTGTAGGTGTGTAGGTGAGAGGTGGGAGGTGGTCTCAGCGACTACGGAGTACGGACAGCGCCCCGTGCAGGGGGTGTGGTGACTACTGACAGGGGCGGTCGGGGCAGTGTGGGTGTGTAGGCGAGAGGTGGGAGGTGGTCATGGAGCATTTCTGGGAGGTACATAGCACGGACAGGAGTCCGAGACGAGTCGACTGGTTCGGAGCGAGTTGGACCGATTGCAAATCAGTTACCGCTTTCCATTGGCGGGGACTGGCACCCCAGCTTCCATTGGAATCGGTGGTCCTCCCTTCATTGCACTCAGGGCGGACATGGATGCTCTGCCTATTAAGGTTTTGTTTATCTTTCCTTATTTCTGTTAGAAGTTAGAACATATTTGATACTGAATTTTTTTTCAACTATTTGGCTGAAATTTCATTTCGGATGAGAAACCGAAAGATCCCTGAGTGTTTATGTTGAGACAGGATAGGTGGAGTAGATAGTAGGGATAGTGTTAGTAATTTTCAAATAGTAAGATATACTTAGTCAATTAACTAAACTACTATAAAGGTAATTTAAGAAATTTATCCTTTAAAAAATATATTTATTGCCATTTCTTCATTTGAAAAAAAAAAACTAATAAATGTATGAGTAGAACAAAGAAGAAGAATTTCTTACATGGCATCAAATGATTGAGAAGTGAAAGAAAAAATGAGCATTGGTTTATGGTTGAAATCATTTTGTTTTTTGTACTAATATGAAAAGCACACAAAGAAGAAAAAAGTGAAAGTATAAATAGTTCATTAAGAGGATATTTAAAATCATCCCTTGACATATTAAAGTTTTATTGCAGATTGTCTTCAATCCAAACAATGCACACTCTCTTTTGTCGCTATGGTTAAGTGATATGCTAACTATCAATTAAGGAGTAAAAATTAGCAAAATGTTTTGTTCTGAAGACCACTTATTACAAGGGACCATTGTGTTGATGAAGCATAGCTACTTATTTTATAAGGTTTCATGTTAAAATAAGGGAAAATTTCCAATTAGTACATTATACTTTGGGTCTAGTGTCGCTTTGGTCCACAAACTTTAAAACGTGATAATTTAGTACTTAAACTTTCAAAACGTGTCAATCCAGTATTTCTCATTAACCAATCCGTTAACCAGCCATTAAGTGACACTTGAAAAGACACAGATGCTCTTTGAGTGTCATCTAATTTTTTTTATCAACCATTCACATGTTGATAAAAAAATGAACAGTCTCAAATTTTTGCCTCTTCTACTTAAAAAAGTTTGGGTTACGTCTCCGTGGGCGTTCTGGTGACCCCAACTTTCTTGAGCAGAAGAAGCAAGGATTTGAGACTGTTCATTTTTTGTCAATGTTTGGATGGTTGATAAGGAAAATTAAATGACACTTGAATAATATTTGTGTCTTTTCAAATGACACTTAAAGGGCTGGTTAATGTTAGGTATTAAATTGACATGTTTTGAAAGTTTGAACATTAAATTACCACATTTTAAAATTTAGGGACCAAAATACATGTACTAATCTAAAATTTTCCCTTAAAAAAACTCTCAAAGAGAGTGATAAATGGAAAGATCCAAGGGTTTGTTCTTAATTTCTTGTTATTCACTTGGTGCGATGTTACTTGACATTACAAAAATATTAAATATATTTCGTATATAAAAGAAGGGTCATGTGTTTGGAAGAAGGAAAATGTTGGAGAGAAAAACTTTTAGTTAGAAAATGATATTATGTAAGAGTCATTCAGTGACTGGTGGAAAAATCTTGAAACACCCTTTTCGATAAGGGAGCTAACCACATTACCTAGCTAATATAACAAAATTGAACCAATCTTAACATCTTTTTTCACAAATAACATGGAACAAACTACCTAGCTAATGTCCATACATAAAAAAAGCTAATAGTTGAAATTCCATTCAAGAAAAATGTAGTCCTAATCATCCTTAAGTATGCTTTTGAATGCACCAATTTTTTTCTTAGTTTTGTACACCATGAGACAAACTTCTACATGAGAAGACACCCATGTAGCATTATTTGATATGGTCATGTATCATTGTGGAAGCAAATAGAAGAATTCTTATTCCTCTGAATAAAAAGAACTTTGATAAGAAAAGGCCATGACTAGGCAAATGGGGGTTGTTATCACATTTTACAAAGAAGGGATGATTCTCTACGTCGCACAAGGCAAGTTCACCATTGGTGCCTTAGTTGCCAACAAGTGGTATTGACCAAATTCTTTAATCCATTCAAGGAGATAAATCCATACGAAATGGCCATTTACAAAATTATATATCAATCGTGCGAGGAAAACCAATATAATTTAAGAAATAGAAAAGTCATAATAGACAATAGTTACTTGGAATTGGTTGCATTGGACGACGATACATACTTATAAAACACGTAGGTGCGTTGCACGTGATAAAGATTAAAATATGAAAAAATAAAAGGAAGTAGAGAAAGAGATCTTTAATAATGTTTTGTAGCAAATAAGGATATTTTCACATAAACAAAAATAGAGGTTAACTAATATATACATGATTGAATAAATGAACCGGTTTTTACAAAATAAAACAATGGGCCGGTGATGGATGGAAGGTAATTCAAAAAATACAAACCCAGTTTCTGAAAGGTATTAAATAAAAAATGGGAAATGGTAGAAGGGTCCAGTTTTGGAAGAATGACTGGTGTAAAGAAGGCCCCCTAATGAAAAAGCAACAGTTACTGAATACTTAGAATGGACAAAGCACTTGAAACCCCCAGTTCAAGAGAAATTTAAATGATTGGGAGGTGTCATCCCTGATCAAATTATTCTAGCTATTGTATGACTCAATCATACTAAAGTTGTGATTAGCAACTTGTGATGGAAACAGGGCACACTTGTTAAAGAGTATTTCACTTCAATTAACAAACCGACCATTGGGTCACGGTTCAATCATCTGGGTGGGTCCAACTCTTACGACTCTGAAAAACCATTCATCAATTTCAATGTAGTCCACTGATCATTGTTAACATGCCACTCGTCCGAAACTTGTCTCATTCCCAGTGTAGAATTCACAAGTTGCTATAAAAGTTTCTGTAATGTCTAGAAATTCATAAACATCTAGAGTCAGCTGCCCCTCCTTGGATAGGGACACAATTAATCAAAAGAACATTTAAGCTTAGGTTTTGACTACAATCTTCATCTTGTTAACGTGTTTCTTGAACAGAATATTGTTTCTAATATAGTAGATTAAATCCTGTATAAGAATTTATAGAAAACAAAGTAAAGTAAAAGTTATCCAATTTATGTATCAAGATCCTTGTGCTACAATATTGTTTTGTAGTCATATCGAATTTGGGCAGCAGAAATTTGAATTAATTGAATAGGGCACAACCAAGATTGAACATCCATGGAAATTAGTCAAATAAATCTTTTAATTTTTTTGTCAAAATTCAGTCTCCCTTAATGGTTTGCCGATTGACATTTTGGCCCTGTTTGATTCGCGGTAAGAGGGATCTGGAGTTTGAATCAGAATGGGTTATTCTGATTCCAACTGTTTGGTTGGGCGAAATCGGAATTTCATTCTCATTTCTGCTAGAATGATATTCTCCCATTCGAGGGAATGGTCATTCCCTGCCCCTCTCTTAGGAATGAAATCCTATTCCTGCTGATTTTAATTTTCATTTTCATTCCTGTTTGAACTAAAACAGACTATAGGAATGAACCATTCTGATTCTGATTCTGAAGGATTTCGATTCTAATTCCGACTATGAACCAAATAGACCTTAGAAAAATGTTGAAGGATTCATTGTAGAGACCGAACAAGAGTCATGAAAACCATGGCAGAAAACAACAACACAGAGTGCAGTTCTGTGCTATAAGTCCAGAGGTGAATCTAAATCCAGGCCTTGTGATTAAACAGAGACTTATGTTCTCAGGTTCAGCCGTTCTATTAATTCTACTTCCATCGAAATTTCCCCACTTTGCTCCCTCAATGCTGGTTGTACACACCTAGAGGTTGAACCCGACAACAAAATGAATCGAAATGCAATA